GACCAGCTCCACTGCTGCCAAGCTGGGGGACAGCCAGGGGACACAGGGCAGCCATGAGTCCTTCAACAACCAAAAACATGGAAACCACTGACAGGGGTGGCAGAAAATCATCATCCCTATCCTCACCCCCTGTGAAGGACCCCCCAGAACCATGAACTGAGGCACACAGGGCTGTTTTTCACGTGCTGAGAGAGGATGCAAAGCAGAGGAGCCAAAGGCAGGTCCCAGCCGTCAGCCTCCGCCCCGGGGCAGGGCAGGAAACCCCCAGCCCGACATGACCAACAGCACAGCCACATCACAGCCCTGTGAGGGGCCAGGAACGTGGCCCTGCCCATGCTCTGACAAGGGCCCCGCTGTCTGGGGCTGCAGCTGCTCTGCGGAAGTAAACAGGGTCCCTGCCAGCACATTCCTGCCTGCTGCCCTGCCCGACCCCTCCAGCCTGCACATCCCCCCGCCACCAGGGACACCCATTACCTGAGAGGGGTGGACATTCCCACAGCAGTGGGGATCACGCACAGCTGCTCCAGCATGCACACTCTCCCCTGGCATGCAGGGAATGGAGAGCCACCACCCAGGCAGGCAAATAAAATAAGCAGTGTTTACTAGCAAAATAAAGGACAGAAACTCTCACTCACAAGGCCCTTCCAGGTGGCTAGGGCCGCCCCGCACAGCTCCACACGCCCACTCCTGAGCTCCCTGCATCTCGCTGCTGCTTCCACTGCAGGATGCAGCCCTGAGGGTCCTGCCTTGGGCAGGGTGGGCAGTGCTGCCTGACGGCAACAGCATCCCTACTGCACCAACCAGCCCACATGTCCTGCTCTGTCTTTTCGGTGAAGCAGCCCACTGCTTTTGGATGTGGTGCAGGATCCATCCCGGCTCCGAGATGCGGAGTGTCCTGCCTGTCTGCAGAGAGGGGCCCAGGCACCCCATGGAGGTTTCCAGTGGGGCTAAAAGTGCAGCCTTCTGGCTCAGTCCCGGCCCTCCCAAGCATCCTCCCGCTGCTTGTTCTCCAGACGCTTCCTCTCTGCAGAGACAACAGGGTCAACGACATGTCCCCAACAGCCCATAGCCACCCACTTTCCTCCGGAGGTGGCTGGAGTCCACCCTGATGCAGTCCCCTCCCACAGGTGCTGCACCCTGTGAGAAGGCACATCCACAGGAAGGCTTCCCCCGTACCACAGTCCCTCCAGGCATCCAAATCTCACCCTGAGCTTCTTGCAGTTTCCTCCGCTCAGCATCTCGCTGGGCTGGTGTCTGGTTGCTGCGTACCCCCAGCGCACCAATCACCAGCCGCCTGGCCAGGACCGCAGATGTTTCAGGGCGCTCCTTGGCCGGCTGCAGGTACTCTGTGTAAGCAGAGATGGGGGACATTCGTGGGGCATGCTGGGAGGGACAGGCTGCAGAGCCATGCTGTCTGCCCCATCCCACCCCATTAATCAGGATGAAGATGTTGGAGCACAAGCATGATGGCACAAGCCAGCACAGGGCAACATCACTCACCAGCATAAGCCCTGGCTTTGGCTTTAGAGGCACGGGTGCCCTGGGAGAGTGGGCGCGTCTTCACCATCAGGTGCTTGGTGCTGAGGGCATCACGTGCTGCAAGGAGAGAGCAGCATGTCCAGATGCAGGGTTAGCCCCCTGCCCAGGATCCTGCTGCAGGATAGGGATGCCTCCCATCTCGCCATCCCCAGCCAAACTGGGAGCAGTACCTGTTATGGGGCTGGAGAAGATGCCCAGAGCATGCGTATCATCCACCCACTTAATATCAAAGCCTTTTTTCCTGCCAAAGAGAGGGAAGAAAGCTCAGCAAGGTATCAGCACCTGGTGGGCAGGGGTCTGGAGCAGAGCCCAGGCAGGGGACCCCAGCACTGGGGACAGAGCATTGCTGGCAGACTCACTGATAGCTGCAGAAGACACGCATCAGGTCCTCAGTGTGGAAATCTGAGGGGAAATCGTAGATCTCGATGACGTGGGGCAGCTCGTCATCGCTGATGTCTGGTGCAGCAGGCTCAGCCCCATAATAGTCGAAGCGGGATGACTGTCGGCTCTCCTGGCGCTTCTCACCCCCTGAGAGCTGCAGCAGTAGGACAGACACAGCACTGAGCAACCCATGTCCACATGCCCCACAGCAGCTCCCAATCCATGCCAAGCACTCCTTGGAAAGTGGTCCGGCCCCACAACCCACCCCGACACTGCAGATGACTTCATGGCATTGAGAATGAGGAGTTACTGACCAGGCTTCTCACACCATGGACTTTCTTTTCCCATTACCAGTATCCCTTCACTTGCCACTCTCTGCGGCTCCAGCCAGGGACACAGTAGGAATGTCAGGGGTGAAACAGCACATGCACCCCCATGCAAAACCCTTCTTCCACAGTGATGCGATGACCTAAAACACACTTGGGGAAAAACATGAAGCAGGACAGGAAAGACAGGAAAAACTGCCATGTGGAAGAACCAGGCTCAGCATGCTCTAGCTGCAGCACATGCACTGGAGCCACCCATGAGTACCCCGGATACCAAGATGAGAAAGCCAGCCCTCCCCTGAGGAGCAAGTTCTGATGGTTAATCACCTGTGCAGCTAAAAATTTATGCTTTATTTCTCATCTGAATTTGTCTGGCTTCACTTTCCAGCCAGCAGTTCTTGTTCTGCCTCTCTACTGGATTAAAGAACCCTCAGTCCTCAGACCCCTCCCCATGACAGCACTTACTCATGATAATCAAGTCGCTTCCAATCTTCTTGATAAGCTAAACGGGTTGTGCACCTTTACTATTTCACAGTGGGGCACTTTCTCCAGTCCTAAAATATGATGGTTGTAGCACTTTTCTACCTTGCCCATTTTTCAACCTTCATTTTAAAACATGGGCAGCAGCCTTCCACTGCCACAACACAAGGGTGCAGCTAGATCCTGTTTCCCTCTATCCCACAGCATTGGTGCCTCCATCAGTCGTAGGCCACCCTGCATCGCTTGCTGCACCCGTTTTCCTAACCACACCATGCCTGCCCTGCTCTGGCTCAGACACTAGGCTGGGTGCAGTCCAAAGCTACTGACAGCTCCCCTGTTTCCCTTGCAGCGTGGGGCTGGTATGGTGCAAGGGAACGGGTACATAACTCAGCTGGGTTCCCAACCCGATCCCCTAAGCGATCGTAGTGGAGCACACCACGGCTGCAAGGTTAGAGTCCATAAATCCCAGCCAGCTCAGTCAATAAAAAGTGCTCATTCTGACAATTTTATGGGGAAGATGGATTCACGGCAGGTGAGGGGTGCTGCCGGGGTGGCTGGATGCCAGCGGAGGGTAGAGCTGAGTTATGGAGCTCATGGGACAGGCCAGCACTGCTGACAGAGCTGTTGATGGTGGGACAGCACCATCACCCTCCATGCAGGGCAACACGCTCATAGACACCCTGAACCTGCTTTGTGGAGGTGAGGGATAGTGCCAGGCAGGATGAAGCCCTGCAGTGCCGCTTGAGGGAGCAGAGCGCTTGGATAGTGCCAGGCACCGGGAAGATAATTAGAGAGCAGGAGCACAGAGTGCTGGAGCGGTCCTTGACCTTCACAAATCACTAAGTGTGGCGGGGCAGCAAGGACAGGAGCCGTCTGGCAGTCGGGCTCAGCCATGCAGCAGGCACGGCTCAACGGCGCTGCCAGCCCCAGCATACAGCACACCTGCAGCTCCCCAGCCATGGGGCAGGGCAAGGAGCAGGAGCCAGCATACGGCCCCAGCCCTGCCAGGCATCCTGGGAAGGGTTTGCTGATGGATAGGCAGACAGATGACAGGGAAAATACAGCCTGTCCACCACACCCTGCTGCTCTCTAAAGATGCACCCTCGCCAGAGCAAGGGTTAGAGGGGTCTGTGGCTGTTCGCTTACACCACAGCCCCTGGCACGCGGACGCTGTGGCCACCACCATGCTGTGCTGGCTGATGGAGAGTCCACTGAGCCTGCAAGGAAATGGTTGCAGTCTTTAATTACTCTTCGCATTCAAACTGATTTCTACTCTGAATTTGTCTGGTTTCAGCTTCCAGCCAATGGTGCTCACTCTGGTGTTTTTTCCTGCTAGATTAAAGAGCTGTCCACTATCAGAAATCTCTCCTCCACACAGAACGTCATAAATCTTGCTCTATGCTGGCTATCTGCATTGCATAAGGATTAGGTTACAAGGAATATGCTACTAATTTTCTTGTCCTTTTTGTTAATTAACAACAGCTTCATCTCCCCAAGAGCCTGTGCCCTACCATAGCAGCCACATCCACCTGCCAAGAGCTCAAAGGGCTCAGGAAACACCAGACTCTGCATGGGAATTTGCAGGGGATGAAGATGGCAACTTTTACTTGATAAATCCCTATTTCAGGTTCTTTTGCACCCACTTTTGGAAGCTCCCTGGAAGCTCCCTCCTCATACCTGGCTCAGAGCTTGTGCACGGGGGAGCTACTTCAGTGCTCCTTGGAGCAAGCACCTGTGCTGCACAGCACAGCCTTGCACATAGCATCCTATGGCTGCACCATAACACAGGCCCTTCCTGACCTTCCTCCCCCAAGGACAAAGCCATGCCCATGGTACCAGCCCACAGAAAAACAGCTCCACATGTGCCAGCTACCATCAGAGCAGCAGTGCTGTCCCCATCACAGCAGCACTCACCACAACCTCCCAGCTGGAAGGTGGGGAGCCATGACTGGAGGGAGCACAGCCAGGCACGGATGAGGGTACTCACCGCCATTCTACGTCCCCCTCGAAGACGAGCCCTGTATGGCCCACACCCTGCTGCCTCAGCACCACACCAGGCTCAGAGAGGACACACCAGCCCAAGCAAGGCCTCACGGACAAGGTGGGTATCAGTGCCCCTCAGTAAGCATGCTATTGAGTTAACCTCATCCCTCCACAGATGCTATTTTCAAGGCATCACCCACCACTTCACACCCAGCTTCCAGCCCAGGGTGGACAGATGCTGGCTGTAACAGTATTAGTGCTGTTTGTTACTTTTGGTACAATAATGTCATTTGGAAAATTACCGGTGTGACACTACTGATTTAAAATGCAATAAGGGATATCCAGCCTCGCTGCAGGAGTTGAGTTTTCCTTGTGAACGGCAGGCAAATGGTGTGGGACCTGGCACTAATCAGCCAACTGTAGTAAATTCAGCCTCATGCATGCAGGAGAGAATGGTAATGAGCCACAGCTGATTAAGAAGCTGTAGTTTTGAGGAAACATCCTGTTGCTGTTTCAATGGGTGCCCATACATCCTCAGCCCATTTCTTTGTCAGCAGCCCTGATTTCATGAGGGTGCAGTTGCAGTTTACAGTGCTCAAGCAGGTTTTACTGGGTGCACTTTATGTACTACAGAAGGCCAATCTCCACAGCCTTCACCAGCATCACAGGATGGGAACCAGCCAGGGGGGAAGGTGGAGGTCCCAGGTGTTTTGGCACCACAGGCAGCTCTTGCCCTCCAGGACGGCTGGTGGTGACATCAGGCAGCACAACCAGGTTGACTGCATGCACTGGGTGAAGGCTGCCCACCCCAAGCGCCCACCCTGGGGAACACAGGAACAGACAACTCCCACAGGCCCCTGTCCCCAGATCCCAGTGGGCAGCAGTCACCATCCCTGCAAATCCCCACAAATGCTGGCTTCCAGGAAGTACCTCCTCCAGCAGGCGTGGGTCCAGGCAGTCCCCGTCATCATTGAACAGCACATCCCAGCTCTCCTCAGCAACCGGGCTGGCCTGGCTTTCGCTGGTCTGTCCTTCCTTCGGGGAGCCGCTGTGCAGACTTATCTCTTTGCTCTCAGCCTCCTGGCCACACTGGTGCTTCTGCAGTGCACCCACATCCTCATCTGCTCCCACCAGCTCCTTGGTCCAGGATGCAGGTGAGAGTCCCTCCATGCTACTACACAGCATCTCCAGGGGCGGTGGGGGCTCACAGCGCTCTGGAGGTGCTCCCTCCCACAGGCCACTCTCAGTCACAGCACAGCCATCTGTGCTGTTTGCTTCCTCCACAGCAGGCACCGGGTCGCCCTCCCCACTGGGATTCCTGGCTTCCTCCACAGCAGGCACTGGGTCGCCCTCCCCACTGGGATTCCCAGCACCAGCAGTGCTCTCCTCTGTTACAGACAGGAGCTGGGATGGGCTGCCCATACCCTGCCCTGGGCTTCTCTCCCCTGGGAGCACTGGCACATTGCCTGTGCTACCCCTCGAGAACACAGGTTCACAGCTGGCTCCTGGTGCACACAAGGTGCTCTCCCTGGCAAAATGAGCCATGTCTTCATACCTCTCCTCCTCCTCCAGTACCCCAGTGGCATAGCCTATGTTCTGTCCTGCCAGGAGAGACCCCTCCTCCTCCCAGGCTTTCAGACCCACTGCCTCCCTCACCAGCCCGTGCACACTGCTCTGGTTGCTCAACCCTGCTGACTGCAGGACACCCTCTCTCAGGCTCTGGGAGAGGTCCCCAGCTGGATCTGGGGTGCTATCCCCTAAGTGCTCCAACATGCCACTCAGCCCTGCCTGACAAACCAGTGTTGGGCTCGAGGCAGGTGTTGGGCTAGTGGGGTCATCCCCAGGCTTGAGGGTAGCCTTCACAGCCCCAGCCTGAGTACTTGGTGGGGATGGAGGGTCAGGCTCAGTCCTCATCATCTGGTGGCCACGGCCAAGCTCTCCAAGAGACACTTTGTCCTGCTCATCCCAGGGATGGGCAACAGCTGGATCTGGGCCTGGCCCGCACATGCTGGGTGATGCCTTCAGGGTTTCCAGCGCAATGGGGCAGCTGCCCTCTAGCTTCTGGCAGTCCCTGGCAGAGACTGCCTGCAGCTCCTTCAGGCTGACATCCACCTTGCCGTCCCTCCTTGATGCTTTGCCCGCCTGTGTTCTGGCACGGGGACTTTGCCTCTGCCCCTCACCACTGCCCTGACAAGAAGAGTCTGGTGCCAGGCGGTGGTTCTCAGGGTCTCGGCAGTGCCTGACCAGTGCATTGCCTGTTGCTTGTGTCTCTCTCTCCCGCCGTGCTTTGGGCACGTAGAGGGCCATGTCAGGCTTCCTGCGGCGCGGCCGGCTGCCCTCTGCCTCCTGCTGCATGGTGCCACTGCTGCCTGCCAAGGAGAGACAGCGTCACTGTCTGCCCATGCCCCAACTGCCCCGTAGCTGACTGCACTGTGGGCAGCCCCTGTCCAGGTCACTGAGTCAGGTCCCAGCCCAGCACTCATCCTTGCTCCCTCAGCACCTGGCACACAGTAATGGACTGTGGAACCCCAAAGCTGCCCTGCAGTAGAACATCTGTAGACAAGGTCTGGCCTCTGGAGCATCCCACAGCCCTACAGCCCTTGGTGGAGTTTATCGGGCTTAGAAGAAGAGTAAAACCCTGCCAGCACCACTGGGGCACCAGCCCAGCTCTGGCAGCTGCTGCCTGGGACCCTACAGCCCCAGGGGCCAGTGTCTGCAGCCAAGGCTGCACACAGAGACTCTTCCATAAAAACCCACAGAGAACCCTGCAGCAGCCACAGAACACCAGAAATCAAACCCCAGCCCAGGGATACCCTGGCACAGGACCACGGCTGACACCCTGGCATGCTGCAGCCCTGTTCACCTGCTGCCCCGTCCCAGCAGAGATTTATTTTCCATCATCTTTGGCAGAAGCAGGCATGCCACGAGCAGCCAGGCCCCCTGCCCCCATAAATATGCATCAGACAGGGTTTATGGAGACGGATGGCGTGGGGGGCTGCACTGTGGCTGAGGGGAAGGCAGAGTGGGGCTGGGCTGGGGCCCCATGATTAATCACTGCCCACTCTGTTTAGGGGGATTCATCACGGGCCACTGTCAGGTAAATCACTGGAAAAACACCTCTTCAGTAATTAATGTGAAGTGACGGATGGACAGCCCCTGGGCCCATTAATCTGGACCATCAGCGCCAACCGAGATTATGAATGTCAGGATGCATAAACTGCCGGCAGATCAATAGGGCCAGGAACCCATCCAAGGCTCTCATTTCCGAGGCACCTCCGGTACATTAGCCTCCCCTTCACGCAGCCCCTGACTGAGGCGCAAACGCTCTCTGTGGCCCCTCACCAACAGCCAGCAGCAGTGCCAGGAAGGCAAGGGGAGGACAACCACTGGCTGGAAAGTGGCCGGGGCTGCCAATGCCACACAGCATCATCCCCTCCTCCTGATGGGCGGACCGACGGCTGCCTTGGCATGATGCATGGGTCTCTCTGGAAACAGCTGGAAAAGCCCAGGCAGGGCAGTACCCCCCAGCATGACCACAGCACCCGTGCCTGCACCTCATGTTCCTGCCCACCTCCACAGCACGAGGTGCAGGCACGGGCAATGCAGTGATGCTGGGCACCATCCCAGGTCTGCCCCAATCATTTTTGTGTCTCTGCAGCTCTCCTCGTTTTTTCCTGCTCTTTGATACACTAATTTTGCTGGCAGAACGATCCCCTTTATCTTTATCGACCGCAAGAAAGGAACATATCCTACAAAGATTCCAAGGTCTGGATTAGTCATTTTTCAACATCGAGGCATTATACATTTTCTCACCAAGTGGCAGCCCAGGTGCCAGAGGGGAGGGGGCACTGGAAGCCCCCACAGCACCACCATTTCCAACCACAGAGAGCTTCCAATTACACTGGAACACATCTGCTAAAGGACTTTTTTCAGCCAAACCCACAGTATCAGCCCATGGCACATCACCAAACACCTTGGTGGGGGTCAGCAATCCCTCCAGCCACTGCTTCCTGAGAAATTCCAGCATGGGGAGCAACCAGGGGCAGCATTGCTCCACATACATCCCATGTCACCTCCAAGAAGAGCCTCTGTACATGGGATTTATGGGCTCCTCGAAAACTTGCCATTCACCTTGCCTCACCCTTCAAATCAGATGGTGTGGCATTAGCCAGATGGCTGGTGCTGGGAGCATCCTCTCCCCACACAGCTTTGCCTCTGCTTGCTACACACTGCCGGGGAAAAGCCATTTCCCAGAGCCTGGGAAGAAGCATGGCAAGGTTGTGGACGGCCCACACTGGCAGTGATGCTGCAACACTTTGCTCTTTCCCCATAGGGCAGCACAGCTCCTGTGCACAGCCTATTACACACTTCATCGATGCCACGGCCACGTGTCGGCACCAAATGATTTCATGCTCTGGGAGGCAGAGCAATGGCCCTGGCGTTGGGTCTCATTCACACTACACTGGGCAGGGCAACCCTGCTGCTTTCAGAGTCTGGGACCAAGCTTGTCCTACAACGTCGGACAGCAATGGGCAGTACATCCCCAAAAAGGCCTGTGCTGCCCCAGGTGCTGCCCTGCTTTTTGGACCCAGCTAGCAAAACAGCTCAGCATTGTGGCACCAAGCAGGAAAAAGGCCATGAAACCATGGTAAAAGTGGTGATGGGAGTGCTGCCCAGCTGTCTGTCACATAAAACCCACCAGCCCAGCACAGTATAGCCTGGTGTGGCCAGGAAGATACTGGATCACCAGTGAGGAAGCGGCTGGTGATCCCTGCAGGCACAGGCTCCCCTTACACCATCCCCAGGAACACATTTCTCATGGGGAGCTTGTGCTCATGGCATATGTTCGTGAGGTGTCAGACAGCTGCCCAATGTGTCAGTCTGCATTTGTCCTCTAGCGACCATCTGCAGGCTCTTGCCCCCTTCTTCCAATGTGGGCAGGGATGCCAGCCGTGGTCCTGCTCAGGGAACATGAGAACAGGCACGGATGCTGGGGTGCAGGGCTCACATGGAGCTTGCCGGTTCCCGGTGAAGTTTCGGTGCCACCCAGTGCCCTCTCAGCAGGCTGCCGCATTTCCTGGCAGGGAGCTGTATTTTTAGCCTTCGAGGTTTCTAATTCCATTCAATCCATATTCCCACCGATAGAGTAGATAACCTTAAAGCCTTGACAGTGAACAGGGATGCCAACACTGGGGGACCAGGAGCCTTGGGGGACCTTGTGCAGCCTCAGCACGCAGCTCGCACACCACAATGTCATTCTTTACAGCCTGCAGCAGATTGGGCTCTTTGAAGGGGAAAAAAATAACTATAATAACAAGATTAATAAAAAGGCAGATACAAGGAGATTCTAAACAGCTCCGCTGGGGAACCTACTGCTCACAGGGCTCATCCCATGCCAGGCACGTGCCATGGCATGCTCACTGACTGCACAACATCAGTGCCTGGCAGCCTGGGTAAGAACTGTCAGAGGTTTTGGCTACCCTGCACCTCTCCTGCTCTCAGCAGAGCTCCAGCCCAGGCCACTCAGCTCAACAGCAGGTGACGGGGCCAGGGAAGGACCTGAGTACTTGGGGGGGGCAGACAGAGTAAAGGCAGGAACACAGAGCTGCTGGCACAAGGCAAAGCAAAGCACTTCAAGTACCCAATAGCTGCATCCGATCAGATGCCTGCCCACAGCCTCGCAGGCTTTAAGTCATGCCTGTCCCCTGCTGCCAGGAGAAAGATGCTCTCCAGCAGCCACAGCAAACATTGGCTGTGCAAGAAGGCAGCAAAGGCACTAAGAGAGATTTCAATCATGCCTTTCATTTCCAATACTCTTAGGAGATACCTGGAACAAGAGAAGGGGAATGTTCCAGACAGGAGGATGATTTGTAAGTGCCCCCTCACAGCTGCAGGGGGGGAAAGGGACAAACAACTACCAGAAGGAGTTAACAGCTGGAGGGTTAAGAGGAATACAAAGGACTTTACAAATATACCCAGGCAGACTCAGCACAAAAGTGAAAAGGTCTAAGAATAAACAAGGAGGGAGAGAAAATTAATGACGGCTCAAAAATAAAGATGACTCAAAAGGGAAAAATCACTGGCTTTAACCAGAAAAATGCAAATGAGGCAGACACCTCACAAAAACACATGCAGAGAATGCAAAAACAGCACCTCAACATAGATACAGCCACCTCGCCAGCATGGCTAGTGTGGAGATGAACCTTTTAACCTGCTGACACACAGAGCCAGAAAGAAACCAGGCACTGATTTTCTGTGCAGGAAAGGACAATAAAACCAGCACCGGGCACAGGATAAACCCTGTGCCCATCCGTAGTGCAGAACAAAAGCAGTAGATGAAGGAGCCTGCACCCCCACTGTGATAGGACTCTGGATGAACGACACTGGCTTGCCCAGAGGAGTTATTTGGGAAGAATTGCTATGCAATGCTTTTGGATAAGGCAAGCAAGAGGCAACTTAGCCAAACTTCAGGGTACTGTTTTATATCATCCCCCAAACTTTCTTTTCAATAGTGAATTGTAATTAAATTTGCAGATGATTCTGAGAGTTGTTACAAAGACATCATTCAAAGGATCCTCAAAATGTAGGCAAGAAACAGCCTGCAGGAATTATTGTAAAATAACCCAAAGCAGCTACTCAGGGGGCCAGAGCAGCCTGGAAAGCAAGGCCCGGGGACCCATGGTGGGCTCAGACCAGAAAGTCACTGGAGTAACTGCCCCAAAATGTGCAAGAGGCAGAATCTGGTCACCAGCATCATGCCATGGGTCACCGCAGGGCCCTGAGAGCCTCACAGCAGGCAGCACGCAGGGACTAACAGGTGGTGTGAAGGATGGAGGGAACGCCAGGGGCAGGCACGCTGCTGTGAGAAACGGTGTCTGGCACTTGTGAGCACCAGACACGTGTTTTACAAGGCATGGGAGACCGGCGCACCGAGCACCCAAGGAGCAGCCTAACTCCCCTGTGCGCCAGGGCTGACGCTGCTGGCATCGCCTTGTGACTGTACTCTGGGGAGAGTTACGGGGTCTGCAATGAGCCACGTTATCCGGCTGCCCCAGGGGCTGCGCGCCAGGGACTGGGGAACGGGATGGGACTCGAGGCGGGGACCAGGGGGTTGGGGTCAGGGCGGGGGG